TTTTCTCCCCAGGACCCTCTCTCCAGCCTCTGGATAACAAACCTGGGGAAACAGGAAAGTAGATCATTTTTTCCTTTTACAAACCTATTTAGTATTGAGGACTTTAAAAAAAAAAAAAACATAACATTTAATGTATACTGTTAAAATTTACAGAAAAGTTGCAAAGATAGTACAGTTCTTATTCATCCCACACCATTTCCACTTGTTAACATCTTACATGAATACAGTTGTATTTTTTTCACAGCTAATGAAGCAATGTTGACACAATTACCAAACTCTGTGCTTAATTTCATCAGTTCTTCCTAATGTACATTTTATGTTCCATAATCCAATTGCCTCACTCAGTTACAGCCAGTTTCCTCGATGTGCCTCTTGCTGACTGTTTCTCTGACTTTGCTTGTTTTATAACGTTGACATTGTGAGGGAAGTGATATTTTGGAGAGGTGTTGGGTTCAGACAGTTGGGTTCTTGGGTCACGTCTGAGAAAAGTTTCACCAGATTCCCCCTTTCACATACACAGTGAGTTCCCCACAAGACAGAGACTTTTTGTCTCTGCCAAAGAGAAGTTTTTTATTTCTTTTTTAAAAAAGGGAAAGAGTCAGAACCCTGCTACCTCCCCCACCCACTGAGTAGCTCTCTCCCACCAACGGAAAGGAGGGAAAAAAAAAAACTGCAAGAACGAACTACAGATCAAGTGGGACACTGAGTAGAGAGGAACTATTTCAGGCACCGCACCCCACAAATGGGAACTGTGGAGAACGGTGAAGAAATCACCACAGAGGTGACCGAGCGGCTCCGGGCGCCATCAGAGGAAGACAAGGATTCCATGGTGACCTACAAATAGTCTAAGGCCAGCGGAGAACCACTGGGAAAAAGCAAAGGTCAGCAAGGACAGGTCTCTCTGCCACCTCATGACCAGAACAAAATTACCAACTAACTGATTCCCTGTTGGAACTAAGTAAATACAGAGGGAGGGAACTGTAAGGGACAGTGCCCAGCAACACAGCATCAACACTCTGGTGGAGTGTTGTCCCCAGTGCTAGTCTCAGTCTGGTGAACAGTTTCCGACACCCCTAAAGGAGCACTCCAAAGAGATGGAAGCCACCCTTAGGACAACTTGGATCCTTCTCCTTTGGGGACTTGCTGGCGCGGGTTGCACAGAGAGGAGGGGGCAGAGCTTGCTGGCTTTCAGGGCTGCTTCAGAACCCAGGGGTTCTCTGAGCCCCTCTGGCTGCACCCCCCCCAACAGTAAATGGACTGAACGGTGAAGAGGAGGAGGAAGAGGAGGACAAGGGTCCCCTGACAAAACTAAGCATCCCGGACAATCTAGACAGCTGGGAGGCCATGGTGAGCTCGGCCCTGGGGCCCCTTCCCTGCCCTACCTTCCCCCTCCCACCAGAACACCCTTCTTCTTGGTTCCCCTCCCTTTGATTAAGCTTTCACCCACCTCTGCTGGGAGCTAGTGGGTAGAAACCAACGCCATCCTCGAATCTCAGGTGTGCCCACGGAGGCCCTGAGAGGTGTGCCTCCCAACCTCCTGCCGGGCCCACAGGGGCACCCTGCTCCTCTGGCCCAAAGGTGGCATTTTGTAACTCGGCCTTGGCCAGTGCTGAGGAAGAACAGGCGCAGCTGCACAGGAAGCTAAAGGAGCAAAAGCTGCTCTGCTGGCTCCTGGCTCAGCAGGTAGCCCCATGGGACCAGGAGCCTGAGAAGATGGAGGCCCCAGGCCCCGGGGGGAAAGTGTGCCTGGGGAGACCCACCAGGCCCTTCAGGGAGCCATGGAGAAACTGCAGGTGAGTGTGTGTAAGGCAGGAAGGAATGGCCACAGGGCAGGTTTTCTGATCCAGCAGACCGGGTAAAGGAGAAGTGAGTCCTGGAAGCCTCAGTGAATTTTGCAGGCTTTTATTGGGATTTACCAGATACATGGCAGGTAGGGGTGCTAGGGGGCCAGGAGGCTGACAGGCCTCCCAGCCCCCAGCAAGTCTTCACTCTTTCTGGGCTCTCTGGCGTTCTCTGGTGGTCTCTGCTGCTCTGCTCTCTCGGTTCTGCTTGTGCTTCTCTGCTGCTGCTGGCGTCCCCGTGACGCGACCCTTAAAAGCCCATCTTAGCCCAGGTGAATCCCATCTACCTATGCCCACACCCTACTCCAGGTGTCCGTATCAGGCATGCATTTGGGACCGCAGGGTTCCATCATCCATCCTATGGGCGGGAGAGCAGAAAAGCCTGATACTTTTACCTTACCCTACAATCCACCCCCTCAGGGTTTTCTGCCAGACAGTCTATACAAGTGATACACATGTTTCTCTTGACGAATAGGAACACTGCAGCCATGGCCCACAAAAGCAAATGAAATATATCACAATGAAATATAACAGAACACAAATAAGTCCAGGCAGGGCATCAACCTAGTGGCAAAAAGAATTATTGGCACCAGTAGATGATCCACCACTTCCGCTGCCGAAGGCACTGCTCATGGGAGGGAGGGAACCACTCAGGCATCAGCCGTCACACGCCAGGAGCCATCGGGCCTCCCGGCCCCCACCGGCTGCAGTCTCGGCCACAAGCCACACACCGCATCCACCCCCAGGATGCACTCACTCTTGGGGTGGCGATTCTGTACTCTTTGGGGGTAATCGCCCATCCCTCAGGGTTTTCTATCTGTGGTCGCTCCAATGCTCCAGCATGCAGGCCCCTGCACTCAGGCCAACCCACTGCACAAGCACATGGGTCGGGGATCCGTGGATACAAGTCCACATGCGGCCTCTCTTGGGTCCCCTCTTTGGCTGTGGGCTCCACCACAAGCCACGTTCCCTACCCATCCCCCAAAGATGGGCTCCTCAGCTCCTCCCCCTCACTCAACTATGAGCAGGGCATCACCCACAGGTGATTTTAAAAGACTCACTGGCCTTTAGCTTACGTAGTGCGTAACAGCCGCTCAGGGCTTCTCGAACTTAGCACCAGCTTTTGCCTTCTCAGTTGGCTTTTTCTCCTCTGCTTAGCTGCTGGGCAGTACACCGGCTGCCTTTGGCCACCAAGGCCCACTGACACCCCCAGACTCCCATCTCTGGGGGTGTACAATCCCATCCTTCCTCAGGGTCCCCAAAACATATCAAACTTGCCAAGGTCCTCCCCCTTCTGGCGGGATTGTTAGTCCATTAGTCCAAGTTCATCGGCTTTTCCCTTTGTCCACACTGGGGAGCTCTGAGTCGTGGTCCTTTCTCCCCCGCTGATTCTTACTGCCTAGGCGGGGATTGTTGGCTGGTCCTCTCGGGCATCTCCTCCTCCAGGCGAGGTCTCATCCCGCAGCTCCCGGACTTTGCCCTTCCCCTGTCCCGCCATGACACGTCCAGCGCTGTCACAGGCAAACACTGTCTGCTGCTCCTCAGTCCCTCCCGGTCTTCGGAGGGCTCCATACCGGTCTGCATGGATCATCGTGCTGACTTACACCAATTGTAAGAGAGGAAGGAATGGACAGGGGGCAGGTTTTCTGATCCAGCAGACTGGGTCCAGGAGAAGAGTGTCCTGGAAGCCTCAGTGGCTTTTGCAGGCTTTTATTGGGATTTACTGGATACATGGCAGGTAGGGGTGCTAGGGGGTCAGGAGGCTGGCAGGCCTCCCAGCCCCCAGCAAGTCTTCACTCTTTCTGGGCTCTCTGGCGTTCTCTGGTGGTCTCTGCTGCTCTGCTCTCTCGGTTCTGCTTACGTTTCTCTGCTTTTGCTGTGAATGCCACCCTTAAAAGCCCGGTCTTAGCCCAGGTGAATGCCATCTACATATGCCCACACCCTACTCCAGGTGCCTGCATCAGGCTTGCATTCAGACCACAGGGTTCCCTCATCTATCCTAAAGGCGGGAGGGCAGAAAAGCCTGATAGTTTTATCTTTCCCTACAGTGTGGTTGTCCGGAGGGCTAGGCGGGCTAGGTGCTGGGCAGGCCAGCACTGCTGAGCCCCTGAGCCCGCTGTCTGGCCGAGGGCCGCTTTACCGAGCTCATGCAGGAGAAAGTGGGCTTACAGGACTGGATGGAGGAGCTGGAGCATCGATGTATCCAGATGTCTGGAGAGACTGACACCATCGGTGAGCAGGGAGGCTTGTGCCCTGCAGCTGGGGTGCTATGCAGAGGCTGGGGAGACCCCAGCAGCTGAGCTGTCTGCGCGCCCTCCCCCTAGGAGAATACATCACTCTCTACCAGAACCAGAGAGCAGTGATGAGGGAGGAGCACCAAGAGAAGGACGAGTCCATAAGGCAGCTGGCCCAGGACAAAGAGGAGATGAAGGTAGTCAGAGCTCTGGCTCCATGGTGGTGCGGCTGGGGCAGGGCAGGCTTCTGAGCATCTCTGCTTCCAGGTGAAGCTGTTAGAGCTGCAAGAGCTGGTTTTGCAGCTGGTGGAGGCACGCAACGAATGGCGGGCGAAGCCCTGAGCACCCGCCCAGAACCCTGCTGCTGAGCCCACTAGCGCATGCCTAGTCCCCAAGAAGCTTGGCACCGCCAACGTCCAAGGTGAGGAAAGCCCCTAACGGGGGGCTGTTCAGGAAGAGCACACTCCGCCAGGCACACAGCATCCTGTCTCTGTCTCTCTGTAGGGTAAAGAAAATATCAGGCTTTTCTGCCCTTCCGCCATCAGGATAGATGATGGATCCTTGTCCTGAATGCATGCCTGATGGCGGGCACCTGGAGTAGGGTGTGGGCATAGGTAGATGGGATTCAGCTGAGCTAAGACTGTGCTTTTAAGGGCGGTGTCACGGGGACGCCAGCAGCAGCAGTAGAAGCCGAAGCTGAAGCCGGTAGAGAAGCCGAGATCACCAGAGAGCCCAGATAAAGTGAAGATTTGCTGGGGGCCGGAGGCCTGCCAGCCTCCCAACCCCCCAGCCAGCACCCCTGACTGCCATATGCCTGGTGAACCCCAATAAAAAACCTGCAAAACCACTGAGGCCTCTGACTCCTCCTTTACCCGGTCTGCATGGGATCAGAAAACCTGCTCTGTGCCCTGCTCCTGCCCTTACTCTCTCTAAAGAACCAAGTAAGGTGAGCCTTGTCCACGATGTGCAGCCGACCCAGGGTGAGGCCCAGCTGGGCCTGACTCCCCTCAAGAACGCCTCTGCGCAGCAGGTCGTTCAGCTGCTTCAAGAAATGCAGAACTCCGAGGAAGGCGTCACCATTGGAAACAGCCCATGCCTTCCCTTCTTCTACCAGGCTGACGACAACGAGGTGAAGATAATGGTGGTCTAGGCCACCGGCATGGGGCCAGAGGCTCTGCCCCCACCTGGCCCTCACCAACCCATCCCTGTTCCCCAGGCTTTCCCCCCCCATCCTTTGGCTCTCCTTCCCAGTCGTCCTTTCATCCCTCGTCTTAAAAAAGGGGTACAACAACTCCCCTATCTAATAGGGTGAAATAGGTGCAGACCCTAGCCTCTGAGGTTAGGGCTGTGTCTTCATTTAACTCTGGACTAATCATACTTCCAGAGGCAAGGAGCTAGAAATATCCAGCTAGTTATTTAGGGGGCTCCGTTCTACAATATAGGGGCTCCTTGAATGACCAATTGAATCCTTACCAGGCCTTCTTGCAGAGGGCCTAGGTTATATTAGGCAATTTTGGGCCACGTGCCCCCCACCTCACCCCAACCATGTCGAGCGGGGCAGCACTTTGAAAGCCCAGCACGGGGGCTAAGTGCAGACAGAGATACCAGCTGGGGCAGGTGGGCACCAACACCTGTCTAGAGTGTAGCCACAGAGATAGCAGTGGTTTATTTGAGACCACCCAGATCCACAAAGGGGTGGCCTCCCCTGCTCCCTTTTGAAATTTCCCCATGGGCCTTTGCACCCAATTTTGTTTTTGTTTTTCTTTGTTTTGTTTTGTTTTTAATTTTTTGTTGGACCCAATAATTGTTTTGATTTTTCTTTATTTTTTTTATTTTTACTTTTTGTTGCACCCAATTATTCTGGAGGTGATCCCTATCTGCAAAGGGGAGGCCTCTCCTACTACCTAGCAAAAGTCCCCATGGGACTGTGTGCCCGATTATTTTGTGGGAACCCACCTGTTAAGGGGGGGCTCTGCTCACTACACATGTCTTGCAGCTTGAGGTTACCCTGTCCCACTCACAAAAGTCCCGCGGGCATGAGGCCACCACAGTCCTCAAAGGGGTGTCCTCCCCTGTCCCCGCTCACAAAAGGTCAGCGGGCATGAGGCCACCCCAATCTGCAAAGGGGTGGCCTCCCCCATCACCCCTCAAGTCCTGCGGGCATGAGGCTACCCCAATCCACAAAGGGGTGGCTTCTGCTGTCCTCCTCACAAAAGTCCCACGGGCATGAGGCCACCCCAATGTGCAAAGGGGTGGCCTACTCCTTCCCGCCTCACAAAAGGCCCATGGGCATGAGGCCACCCAATCTGCAGAGGAGTGGCCTCTCCCGTCCCGCCCCTCACAAAAGATCCACAGGCCTGAAGCCACCCCAGTGCACAAAGAGGTGGTCTCCCCCTTGCCCCCTCACAAAAGTATGAGGCCACCCCAATCCACAAAGGGGAGAACTCCCCCATCCCCCTCCTCACAAAAGTCCTGCAGGCATGAGGCCACCCCAATCCGCAAAGGGGTGGCCTCCCCCGTCGCTCCTCTCGAATGTCCCACAGGTATGAGGCCACCGCAGTCCACAAGGGGGTGGCCTCCACTTGCTGTCTTTGCAAAAGTCCCGTGGGCCTCTGTGCCTGATTATCTTGGGGCCACCCCGGATTTGCAGAGAGGTGGCCTTCACTGCTTCTTTTACAGAAAGTCCCCATAGAGGGGATGCATGGCTTACTGAGGCAATTTGGGGGTACACACTCCCCCAACCCTGTGGAAAACTGGGCTTGGCCAGAAGCCGGGCTGGGGTGGCTGGTGGAGGCCAGGCGGAAGGCGCGCGGGCACCCCGCGGTGTACATAGTGTGCTGGGACATGTGTACATGGGGCTGAGACGGCCCCTGTATCACAGCGGAGGCTGCGGTGGCCCCTGGGAGAGGAGGTTTCTATGAATCAGTTGACATCGAGGAAACTTATTTATAGATCGCCCAGGACAGAGGAAGGAGGCAAGGCCAGGGAGTGGTTCCTGGTGTTTCACTTTTGTTTCTGAATAAACCGAACTCACCACGTGGTCGGGCCCTGGGTTCTGGGCTCAGGCGCTGCGCTGGGTGTGGGTCCTGCCAGCAGAGGGCAGGCTTCGGGGTGCAAGGTGCGCATTGGCGCTGCCTGTCAGGGTATCTAATCCCCCTCAGCTCTCTGACCTGTAGGGCCTGTGGGCTGCTTGCCGCCCCGGGAGGGCCAGAGTACTGGCTTCCAGCCTAGGCATTTCTCCTCTCACCCTGTTCTTCTGGGGCTCCCACCCAGGCCCCATGAGTCCTCCAGGCTGGCACTCTACCCCTGGTGGCCACAGCAGGGTTCAGATGAAGACCAGCTAAGTGCGGGTGCTTTCCCGAGCAGCCTGGGAAAAACTGGGGCCTCCCAGGCACCCCTGCGCCCCCATGCTTAAACCTTCCCTTCCCCCTGAACGCCACAGAACACAGCCAGCACACAACACATTGCTCCCCATTGTTCAGAAATGGGTTTCATTCTCAGCCAAGAGACAGCAGGACTGGTCGTGGCCAGAAGCACAAACCTGCTGGGACAGCACCCCCATGCTCGGGGAAGGGGCAGGAAGGTGGCTGGGGGGGCTGACTGTGCACAGGCCGGGAATGGCAGGGAGGCTCGTCGGAGGTGGCACGTGTTGGCAGGGGTGGCTGGGGTGATAGTGTTTGCTTGTTGTTGGGCCACAAGACTCAGAAGGACAGCACAGCCGGCGGTTCCCAGCACCAGAGATGCGCGCTTGCACGTGTGTGTGTGCCCGTGTATTTATAGACATGCATAGAGCAGGGCAGGAGCAATACCACCGAGGGGGCACAAGAGTCACCGAGGTCACGCCTGGGGTGTCAGCTCACCACCACAACAGACTAAAGTCACAGATGAAGGGGGAGGCTTGGGGGCTGGGGCCAAGTCACAGAACAGTCACCCAGGCAGGCCTGGGAAGAGAGGTGTCCCAGGAAGAGGAGGGGTCTGGTTAGAGGCCGAAGGGGGCCCTGGGGCTCTCAGGTTGGATGGACTTGCCTGACCCGATCAGCTGGCAGCTGGAGAGAAGCAGAGAGAAAACGGGGGAGGGCAGAGAAGGGGGAGAGCTGGGAAGGCAGGTGCAGCCTGGGCTGCAGCGCTGGGGGGGAGGTGGGGAGGGAAGACGAAGCAGGGGAGGGTGTGGGCAGGGGTTCTGGATGAGAGGGGAGGGGGACAGGGAGGGGGGATGCAGGAGCAGGAGCTGGAGCCTCTCCCTGCTCACTCACAGGCCTCTCACACACACGAGACAGTGCACCCCTGTGCCAGACATGTGATCGGCCCCCTCCGGCTCCCTCCTCTCTGTTCCCCTGTCTTTCAACCCGCCAGCCCAGGGTCACCCTTAGTGTCAGGAGTAGGCGGCCTCGGGCCCCACGTGACTCCACCATTTCTGATGGAGAAAGACAGGGAATACCACTGTTTGCCCCGGGAGGGCAGAGCTGAGAGGATGGCTGGAGGGAGCACCGGGGGCTCCCTGGGGTAGGCAGAAAGCACAGTAGTTCCCCATATGGACCCTGGGGAGGCAGGGAGGGCAGGAGGCCAGATGCTAGTGGCCACAGGCTTATAAGTCTAAGAGGGGAGCCTCAGCTGGCTGGGGGACCACAGGTCGTGTAGGTGAGGCTGGGCCCTTCCTGGTGTGGAAAAGCAGAAGAGCAAGCATCAGTGTAGGGGTGCGGGGGCAGGCAGGTCTGTGGGGCAAGTTTTACTGACCAGCTTGGGTAGAACTCAGAGAAGCCGACTTGCCCAGGTCAGCCGACACTGAGGTCCCCTGGCTGAAAAAGGAGAAGTGACACTATGGAACAACAGGCCCAGGTCTATGGGCCTGCAGGCAGGCTTCGGTGCTTCACCTGGGGCACAGGGACTGCCTTGGCCCTGTGCTGGCGGGAACAGCAACAGCAGGCACGGAGGGCAAGGCGCTCTGTGGCCTGCCTGGCTGCAAGGTGGCTGTGGGCCGAGGGTGTGGCTTGGACCCTCAGGCTTTCCAAAGCCATCAGACAACCTGAGCCTTCCTGAAGGCGACTCAGTTGCCACCATAAGGAGGAGGGGTCAGACCTCCCCTGCCCTGTGGTGGATCCGGTTCCAAAGCTCCCAAGGCAGCTGCCCTGCCCCAGCAGCACACTCACATAGGGGGATGGGGGCTGCACCCCCAGCATGAATTTTGAAGGCTCCCTGACGGCCTGCTCCCTGACAGCGGCACAAGCGGCCTATCAGCTCAACACCCTGCGTGACCATCTGCACTGCAGGTCCTCGAGCCTAGAGACTTCCACAGCCAGAGAACATCCACCTAGGTGGAAGGCCC